TTACTAATTGCATTTATATTTGTGGCGAACCTATGTAAGATTACGGTGGATTATTGTTTTATTTACTGATGATCCGAAAATCCACAACCAAGAATTTGATATTAACGAAAGAGAATTAAGGTCTAGATCTTCGTATGAATCTTAGATAAATAAAAATTGAGATAAACGAGATGGATTTGTCTTAATATGATCAAAGAATCAAGATTAATACAAATGATTTATGAGATAGAAAAATCAGAACAACAGAGTGCAGCTCGCAATATTTAGTTTTAGGTGATTTTCTAGGGTAAAAGTGATTGTGATTGGACTTGGCCTCGAAGAAGACTTATTCTCTCTTTATATAGGCGGTCAATGAAGTTCAACCGCTCCTATATTCGCATAGCACAATCTCTTCACGATCCTGGATTTTCTGCATGCGCTCTGAGATCTCTGGTTCAACTGATTCAACCTGTTATTCACGAGTTCCTCTTCAGCATGCAGCTTGCAAGTAATTTCGTTAACTGTTTAATTCAGCCTAATCGCATGGTTCATCGACTGGGCCTTTAGTTGGGCATATTGGGCTTTATGGTAGTGAGATTAATACGAGTCCATCACTATATTCTACGGGCTCCATCCCCACTTCGCAGCTAGCGGTATATTCTTCAAGTTGTTGCTTCGGATCTCTCCATCAGACCTCGCCCGGTGGGCTTGCCTTACTACTAATGGGCCACTTTGGAGATGTATTTTGCGGTGCAAAATACAACAGCAACAATAGTCCCCTAGCCCTTTAGGCGTTAACACACCTAAAAAGCCTCGCCCTTCAAGCTTCATACTTAACGCCCTTCAAGCTTTAGATAGATGCCCAAAGACTATAGTTTTTCAAATGAAATCCTAACAMAAATTGGAATAGAGATGAATCGTAATTGTCAAGCCAAAATCACCAATTACTAGACACTGAAAAATTGACTCCAAAAGAAAAAGACCTTGTGTCACGACCGTGTCCCGATGATTTTTAATTTTTGCGTGGAAATGTTTTTGGATCGAACATGAAAAATAAAACAGAAGAAAAGATTTACGTTTAATAATTACTAAAATGGTAAAAGTAATTTATTTTGCAAATTCAGATTTTTTTACAAGATAATTAATCTTATGAGACATGTTTGAGTCAATCGGTTAGATTTAAACAAGAAAAATATATATTTTTTAATTAGATTTACCCACATTTCAAAAGATTTATCTA